CCTCCTCCTCCTCTTCCTCCCTCCTCCTTCCTCTTTCTTCCTCCTCCCTCCTTCCTCCTCCTCCCCTTCCTCCTTCTCCCTCCCCTCCTCTTCCTCTTCCTTCCTCCTCCTCCTGCCCTTCCTCCCCTTCCCTCCTCCTTGCCCCCCACCCCCGCCCGAGCCCCCCTCGCCGCTGCCTCTGCACACGCACGCACGTCAGAGGCCTTCTTCTCCGTCAGCTCCAGCTTCTCCTGTGCATCCTTCAGGTCCTCGGAGTACTTGTCCAGCTCATCCTCCGTCCCCTTCAGCTTCTTCTGAAGGTGCGTCAGCTCTTCCTCCACCTGGGGCACAGGGGGGACGGTCAGCCCCGGGCCACACCCGGAGATGCAGGGCGGCTCCCGGTTCGCGAGAGGCCTCTCTCTCCCCCTCTGCGCCTCGGTTTCCTCATCTGCGAAGCCGGGATGACACAGTGTGGGCCACCCTGCCCGTGCCACCTGGTGGTGTGGTTTCGCACCTCCCTGGTCCCAGGGACCTGTTGGGGTCCCCAGTCCTCTCGGAGTCGACAGCCTTGGGGAAACTGAAGTCCCTCGCGTTTCCCAGAAACACACACACTCCACCTTGCACTCCAGTCCGGGGTGCAGCCTCCTGGCGATCCTGGCCCGGCAGCAGGAGGAGTCGCCTTCCCTAGGCCTGGACCCGCATCCCCGTCCCTGGGTGTCTGCCTCCTCCCTGGCAGCCAGGGAAACTCCTCATGGACGGAGCCGTGGTTCTGACGGTCTTGTCGACCCTGGAGGGCTGGAGCCCAGCCCCACGGCGGGTGGCGGGCGTGGCTTGGGGTACCCACTCCTCAGGGACTGCTCTGGGAAGGCTCAGGCTGAGTCCTGCACATTTTTGCCTATTTGGTGAGTTCATTTTCATTGAAACGTCCCTGCTTTCCTCGCAGCTTCAGTCCTCGCTGTGTGTTCTGCGTCTGGCAACCCCAGTCTGAGAAGCCCAGGCCTGTGGAACACGAACCACACCCCCGCCCACCGCCAGCCGCACCGCCCCCCCCAGCCTCACCCTCCTGCCCTGGCCCGAGTGGTGTCCGGCCTTGACCTGACTCTCTTGGGCGGTTTGGCCCCCGAGAATGTCCCTGCTCTTGGGCTGAGCCTGGCTTCATCATCCTGCATCTTCCTCCCGGCACGAGGTCCAGAGAGCTAGAGTGGCTTTCCCCAGCACACACAGCATGGGATCTGGACCCACTTTGAGCGTACACCTGGCACAGACTGAATGCTTGCACGCCCCTGTGCTCACGTGTGGAAGCCCTCTTCCCCAGTGCTCCCCCTTCCCCCTCTCTCCCCTTTCTTCCTGCTTCCTCTTTCTCTTCCTCTTCCTTCCTCCGGCTCCTCCTTCCTCCTCCTCTGAGAGCCTGCCCCAACCCCAGCCTGAGAAACTCAGGCCTATGGAACACAAGCCACATCCCCACCCACCGCTACCCCCAGCCCTCATGTGAGGTGAGGGCCTTCCGCCCTGGCCACCTCCCAGCCAGCACCGCTACCCCCAGCCCTCATGTGAGGGCGTGAGGGTGGACCCCATGATGGGTTAGGGCAGCCTCCTCCACACGAGGACACAGCGGGAAGGCAGCTGTCTGCAAGCCAGCTAGGGAGCCCTCACCGGGTGCCGGACCTGATGGTGCCTTGACCCTGGGCTTCCAGCCTCCAGAACTGTGAGCGAGACGCATCGTGTCTTTAAGCCCTGGGTCTGAGATGTTTTGTGACAACTGCCCAGGCTGATGCAGATGCAGCCCTTGGCCCGGCCCCTCACCCCAGGCTGGCCTGCCTTCCTCCTCTCTGACGGGCTGGTCTTCCCTTCCTGCCCAAAGCAGAAGCTGCCGTGCCTGCGGCTTCCAGACCAGCTTTGCACCTGCTGGGGGTACCGTTACCTCGAGACGCTGTGCAGAGCTGCCTGGGCTCAGTGTGGGTGCATGTGACACCAGCGCTGTCCCCCAAGGGCCCTGACTGGAGGCAGTTGCATCCGGGCCACCCATGGGGCCTGCGGAGGGGCCTGCGTGGAGCGGCGGATTTTGGCAGAAGCTAGGGCCTCCGCTGAAGTCACCGAGGTGCCCTGCCAGGGTGGCTGTGAGGTGCTGCTGAGGGGAGCTGGCCTGTCTGCCATCTCCAGGGTACCCCGAGGATGTCTGAGGTCAACTGGGGGAGGGACAGGGCCCAACCCAGGTTGATAGCAGCCCGGGCCAAGGTCAGGACCTCCAGGGTGGACGGCGAGCCTGGATGCCCAAGTCCAAACCCCAGCTGTGTGGCCGCTGTCTCCTTTCCTAGCCTCAGTTTCCCCAGCTGCAAAATACACACAGACTCACACCCACACTCCTTCATACCTGCCTTCTGCACCCACACATGGCGTCTCACATACTCTCCTCGTGTACACTCACTCTCCATATGCTCTGCAGGCAGAGCACACACACACAACACAGACACAGCACACGTGTACATGAGAGCACATAGACACACAAACACACAGCACGTGTGTACAGGAGAGCTCACACAGACACACAGACGTGGTCACACAGACACGCATACACATAGCACACATGCACACGAGAGCTCACACACAGACACACAGACGTGGTCTCTGAACACCCTAACAACTGCTTTTGAACTTCTGCTTTGGCTGAGAAAATCAGCCAGTTGGTATTTGTTTTTTTTTAACCAGTCTCACTCTGTTGCCCAGGCTGGAGTACAGCGGCACGCTCATGGCCACCACAGCCTCCATCTGCTGGGCTCAGGCGATCCTTCTGCCTCAGCCTTCCAGGTAGCTGGAACTACAGGTGCGTGCCACCACACCCGGCTAATTTTATGACTTATTGTAGAGATGAGGTCTCACCCTGTTGCCCAGTCTGATCTCGGGCTCAAGTAATCCTCTCACCTCCACCTCCCAAAGTGCTGGGATGACAGACATGAGCCCCGTGCCCAGCTAGCCAGTTGTCTTAAAGATATTTCACAGGTCAACTTTGACCCAGTGTTCACCCGACTTCTGTCCAAATCTGTGATCACAGCATTTACTGGGCACCAGCTATGTGCCTGGCACAGGGTCCGCTTAACATGTAGGAAGAGTGAGAGCAAATTTGACACCACTGGGCTCATCAAGGTATACAGATGGTTTGCTTTTGTTTGTGTTCTTTCTTTCGAGATAGGGTCTCACTGTGGTGCCCAGGCTAATCTCAAACTCCTGGGCTCACATGATCCTCTCACATCTGCCTCCCAAGTAACTGGGATTGCAGGTGTGTGTACCACCACACCCGGCTGGTTTGGGACTTTTTGGCAACTTTTCTGGGCGACATTTGTACGAGACTAGGTGGGCATTGGGATAAAATGGGCAGGGGGCTGCCAGGCATTTAGAATGTGCCAGGCAGGCCAGGTGCAGTGGCTCACACTTGTCACCTCAGCCCTTTGGGAGGCAGAGGCGAGAGGATCGCCTGAGCCCATGGGGCTCGAGACCAGCCTGGGCAACTTGGCGAGACCTCATCTCTACAATAAATCAAAAAATTAGTTGGGCGTGGTGGTGGATGCCTGTAGTTCCAGCTACTTGCAAGACCGAGGTGGAAGGATTGCCTGAGCCCAGCAGGTCGCGGCTGCGGTGGCCACAAGCAGCGTGCCACTGCACTCCTGCCTGGGCAACAACAGAGTGAGATTCTGAGTAAAAAAAAAACAACAAAAAGCAACGTGCCAGGCACATCGCAGATGCCATCTCCTTGGAACCACGTTACAGAAAGGCAAACAGTCCTGGCAGGGAAAGCAACAGGGCACACAGGTGAGGTCCGGGTCCCAGATGGCGAGGCGGGTTGGTTGCCCTCCAGACCGTGCTGCGCCCTCTGTTGAGCATGGGCTTCTCCCCACCCCTGAGGCCTCCCTGAGGCCTGGGCAGAGCCCTCACCACCCCTACCCCCCAGTCTCCCTTTGCGCCTCCCTCTGGCCCAGTCTTGACCCACAAGCCTGGGGCTCCTTGGAGTCGGACCCGGGCCAGGGGTCACGGTGGCTCCAGCCTCAGAGCGCTGTAGGAGGCTCGTGGAATGGGTCCGTGGCACAACCCCAGACTCTCCGTGGCAGGTGGTATCCACGAAAGCTGATGAGCTGGGCGTGTGTCAGGGGCCTTCATGGTCCTTCTCGGGGCCTCAGTTTCCCTGCCTGTAAAATGACCAGGAGAGACACGGCCCGGGCACCTTCATCCCTGCTGATGGGGCCTGTGGGTGGGGCTGAGGCAGGATGTGGGGGCAAAGGCCGTTGCGGAGGACGTTGCTGCCCTGGGCCCGGAGTGGACAGGAAGCGGCCGGGCCGGGCCTCTGTGTCCTGTTCCCACACTGGATGCCCCGGGATCCCCCGAGGTCAGGCCGGCCCCAACACCCCTCTTTCTGCCTCCTGCAGCGTCAGGTGCCCTAGGCGAGCGGAGATCCTCACCTCCTCCTGCCTCTGTTCCCTGGTGGGACTGCTTGGGACCCTGAGGGGCTCTGGTCCTGCTTTGGAACTCTGTGTCTTAGGGTCTACACGGAGCCGCCAGAAGGCGTTGTGTCGCGTGTCCCTGTTTCGCAGATGAGGACGTGGCGGGCTCAGAGAAGAAGGGGACTGTGCTTTCATCCTCAAAGCTAGAGGAGCTGGCTGAAGGCTTCGAGGAGCTTTTCCTTTTGAACTTGCAACTGCTTTGGGAAAGACGCTGTAACAGTCACTCACACCTTAGCAAGAACTGGAGTCTTAAATGTGTTCTCCCCGAGTCTCTGGCGAGGCCCTCGTGGTGAGGGCCAGATGGTGGACAGAAGCCAGCAGCCAGGTCCCAGCCCAGGATGGCCATCTGTATTTGCCCGGGAAGGGCACAGGAAGGCGGAGGAAGTTCGTGGCAGGGAACACAGGTGGGGCTTGGCCCAGGCGGATGTGTCAGACTCTCCACGCAGCCCCTGGATGCTGGGGGGTGGGGAGGCCTCCGGGGAAGTGGGGTGGGGCAGGAAGTAGTGCTGGACTTAGTGAGCGCTTACTCTGTGCCAGGCGCCGGGCCAAGGGCGCCACCTGCACAGTCACCTCTAATCCCGTCCTGGGCGGAGAGGGAGGCCTCGCGGTCACCTCCCTGCCAGACACGGAGGAGAGGGTGTGAGGGTGTTGGCTCTGGGTGCTCCGCGGCTGGCTGAGCTGTCACTTGAACGTGGCAGTCTGGGCCTGGGGCCTCCGCCTTTAGCCGTGAGCTGGCCTAGCACCCGGACTGGGCAGGTGGGGACCTGGGGTGCCGTCCTGGGCAGTCTGGGGGCTTGGCGGTGGCCCTGGGGGTGGGTGAGCCTCACGGGGAGCCGGCTCTGCAGGGGCTCTCCCCACCCGGCCGCAGGTCACGCCCGAGGCCCCCACCCCACACGGCCCCCTGTCAGGGTGGTGGGCCTGCCACACGCGAGGGTCACCCCCCACATGCGGGCCTTCCCTGCACCCTCACCTCAACGTGCACACGCCTGCAGAAGCAGCCACACACACACGGACTCACCCAAACACGCACGCACACATTTGCCCGCAGACACCCACAACACCCCAACACACATGACACGTGTGCCAACACAGACGCACAGTGCCTGGACACAGTCACTGTCATGCCATCTCTTGCACACGTGCACATACAGCTGGTCTCCCCCCCACCCGAACACACCAACGACACAGACTCACACTTGCACTCCTTCACACCTGCCTCCTGACAGCCACACTCGGTGTCTCACACGCTGTCCCCGTGCACAGTCTCCACGTGCCCTCCAGTGAAAGCACACACACACACACACACACGACACAGACACACACGTAGCACACGTGAACACACGAGCACACACAGACAGAGACGTGGTCACACACACAAACACGCAGCACACGGGCGTACGGGAGCTCAGAAACACCGGCGTCACAGACATACACACGCAGCACACATGCACACGAGGACTCAGACACACAGATGCCACACAGACACACCTGCACATGAGAGCGCGCCCGGGCACGCAGCTCCTCCCTGCCTCCCCAGCGGTGTCTCCACCCTCCTGTCTCTCCCTCACTTCCCGGGCTCCACTGGCCCTGCCAGGTCGGTTCCAGCCGGCACCCCGTTGGGCCAGAAGGCCCTGGGGAGCACAGACCCCTGCCCTTTTCCTGCGCCTGCCCGCCCCCGCCCGGAAGGCACGGGCGCCCACCTGCTTGCACTTGTCCTCCGCCGCCTTCTTGTCTGCCTCGGCCTGCTCTGCGCGGTCAATGGCGTTCTCCTTGTCCAGCTTCAGCATCTGCATCTTCTTCTTGATGGCCTCCATGGCTGCGCGGGCTCGGGCGGGTGCTGCGAGTGGGCAGCTGGGCGGAGGGGAGCCCTTATAGCCTCCCGGAGCCGCCCTTTCGGGCGAGGTTTGGAAGAGGCCCAGCCGGGCCAGCTGCCACTTGCTCCTGGGGGACCTGGCACTGCCTGCACCCCGGCCTCGCCTTATTTGGGCCTGGGATTTTCTTAGAGGGAGGAGCCCAGGCCTCAGCCCTTTCCATCTTTAAGCCGGTGACAGGTCCCACGTGGGCGCGTGGGCACAGCTGCTCCTGGGAGGATCCATGCTCCAGGCAGCCTCAGTTTCCCCATCTGTGGTGGGAGGGATGAAGAGGACTTGTGGGTGGGCCCAGAGTCGGGAGCTGTGACGTGGGAGGCTCCGGACCCCCCTCCTGCTGTGCGCCGGGGGTTCGGGTCTCCATCCTGTCTCCTGCTGCCGCTCCCAGGGAGCCTTCCTGGATGACTCCCTCCCCTTTTTGTATGGTGGCTATCTCATCTTCTCCCTCAGTTTCTCTTTTGGAGACTCTGTGTCTTTCTGCTTCTCTCCTTCTCTGCCATGTCTCTGTCTCTCCTGCCCCCTGTGGCTCTTACAGCCTCCAGTTCACCAGGGCAAGGTCGGTCAAGGATCTGGGTTGTCTCTCTTGGAACCCGGGACAGGCCCAAGCCCTTGCGGCCTCCTAGAGCCCATGGCCTACACTCCCTGCTAATAGCCTGGACATGACTCCCCAGGCCCCAAGGAACAGAAGATGGCCTAGGCCATGGGCTCCCTGCCTGGGCTCCTCACCTCCGGGGGTCCCGGTTCTTTCCACCTCCAGGCCTTGCCCGTGAGGCCTGTGCCCAGGTGCCTCCCTTCCCCGCAGCAAGCCCAGCGGCAGAAGCTTTGGTCACGCAGCGTCCCTGGACCCAGCAGAGCTCCTGGCATGCCTAGCCCCCACAGTGCGTGCTCGGAAGGAGGAGCCACTGCAGCCCCCACGATTCCAGCCCTGACTTTAGGCTGTGGGTTGTGGGGCCAGCCCGTACCTTGGTCTGGTCTGTGGCCCCCTGAGTCCTTGGCTCCAAGTAAAATAAGCAACCCCCTTATACTATCACCTCTCGCTCTCTCTCGCTCACACATCCTCTTTTTTTTTTTTTGAGCCAGAGTGTCACTCTTGCCCAGGCTGGAGTACAGGGGTGCACAATCACGGTCACCACAGCCTCCACCTGCTGGGCTCCGGCGATCCTTCCGCCTCAGCCTTCCAAGTAGCTGGAACCACAGGCGCGAGCCACCACGCCTGGTTAATTTTTCTTGATTTATTGTAGAGACGAGGTCTCACCCAGTTGCCCAGGCTGGTCTCCAATCCCTGGGCTCAGGCAGTCCTCTCACCTCTGCCTCCCAAGGTGCTGGGATGACAGGCGTGAGCCACCGCATCCAGCTTACGCTCACACGCTCTCATACTCTCACACTCACACTCTCAAACTTCTCTCTCTCTCTTTCTCATACTCACACTTCTCTGCCCAGGAAACATCCGTCTACCCTCCAAAGCCCAGGTCAGGTGGCCTCTCCTCCAGGAGCCTTCCTGGGTTCCCAGTCAGACTCCTGGCCTTCCAGCTCAGCACTGAGACTTCTGTGTGGAGGGGTGGAGCCAGGGTGGCCTCCCTGTTTTCTGCCCAAGGCTGCAGAGGGAGTGAGATCAAGGGGGAGGCTGGGAGGTGACCAGAGCCCCTGGGAAGCGGAGGGTGAGGTTGAGAGAGCGTCCAGCCCCCCGGCCTTGCCACGGCGCTGTCCCCAGGCTGGTCTGCTGCTCCTGGTCCGGCTGAGGGGGTCACCCTGCTGGAGCAGGGCCCAAAGCACTGGCGGACAGAACATTCTAGAAGCGCTTTCAGGCACTCAGAACCCTGGATTCTCCTCGCATTCAAGAGCCACAGGGCCCGCTCAGCCCCCGCTCCGGTCTTCGTCCTGCCCCCACTCCACCCCCTCCCGGCAGGCAGACTCTGATGACGGGGTCTTGGGGAGCATCAGCCGCGACCGCAGGCCCCGGGTGGATGTGGAAGCGCTGTCCACCCACCCAACTCAGCCCGCGCTCGCGCACCCCTGTGCCCCCAGCCCCAGAGGCAGAGGCTGTTCACACCCACTGCACGGACGCGGACGCCAAGGCTTCTCACGGCCCGGCAAGGAGGGGCAGACCCAGGCCTTCGGCTCCACAGACAACTCCAGAAGTGAGCTGCAGCCAAAGCCCCTTCCCACAGGGACAAGGGGAAGCTGAGGCCCAGAGTGGCCACGTGGACCCTAGGGCAGAGGTCTGGAACCCCTGCCCCGCCATCTTGGGCGGAGTCATCCAAGGTCGCCTCCACCCCCTCCCCAGGGCCCCTGGGACTGCCTTGCAGGTGGTGTGGCTAATTCAGGTCCTGACACCAGCGGCCCTGGAAAGGGATCCCTCCCACAGGAGATGCCCGCCAGCTGCCCGGCCTTGTAGGGTTGTCCCCAGGCCGCTTTTCCGAGATGGAATCCCACACGGGGGAGGGGGGTGGGGGCTGCTCCCTTTCTGCCCACCCCTCAGCCTTGCCCAACTTGGCCGTTCATGGCCCTGCCCTGCAGCCTTGGGAGGGATTCGCGCCTTCTCTGTGTCCGTGCTCCGGGGACCCCCCCAGGAGCCCTGACCGGGATGGGTCATCTGGGGTTCTGGCCCCTGGGGACCCTGGCCCAGCTGTCCGGACCATGTGGCCCGGGGCACGAGGCAGCGGGGGCGGCTGTTTATAGCTTAGAAGGAGTGAGTGTCCCCCCCCATGGCAGCTCTCCAGTGGGGGGCTCTGGGGACAGTAGGGAACGCCGCATCCTGTCCTCTGTCCCCCATGCAGCCAACAGACTTGGGGGCATTTAGCAAGCATGTGTCTCTGGTGATGCGACCAGCCCGGTGGCTGAGTTCGCTGATAACTGCAATTACGGAATTCTGGCTCCCCCAGACATCGCTCCTGGAACGAGAATTCGAGGAACCTAGGCACAGGGGCTCACACTTGCAATCCCAGCACTTTGGGAGGCGAAGGCAGGACGATGGGTTGAGGTCAGGAGTTCAAGACTAGCTGGGCAACATAGCACAACCTCATCTCTACGAAAAAATAAAACAAACTAGCCAGGCATGGTGGTACATGCCTGTAGTCCCAGCTACTCGGGGGGCTGAGGCAGAAGGATCGCCTGAGCCCAGGAGGTCGAGACTGTGATGAGCTGTGGTCATGCCACTGCACTCCAGCCTGGGTGACAGAGGAAGGCCCTGACTCAAAATAAGTGTTTCGGCCGGTGGCTCAGCCTCTAATCCTGTGCTTTGGGAGGCCAAGGTGAGCGGATTGTCTGAGCCCGCGGGTTCGAGACCCGCCTGGGCAACTTGGCGAGACCTCATCTCTACAATAAAAATAAAAAAATTAGCCGGGCGTGGTAGCGCGCGCCTGTAGTTCCGGCTACTTGGAAGGCTGAGGTGGAAGGATCGCCGGAGCCCAGCAGGTCGAGGCTGCGGTGGCCGGGAGCGGCCACTGCACTCCAGTCTGGGCGACAGAGTGAGACTTCAACTCAAAAAAAAAAAAAAAGTGTTTCTAGGGAAAATCGTTTACTCTGGATTGATTCCAAGAGACACCTGTGGGGCAGGGAGTGAGGCAGAGAAGGGAAGTCCTGAGAAGGGTGTGTTTGGAGGCCAGGTACAGCCACGGACAGATGGCACCATCCCACGGGGGCCTCAGAGGGCAGGGGAGCTGGGCTTTGCCCTGCCAGGTCAGGAGCTGGTGGAGGCTGCTGGGGTGTGTCTAGCTAGCACTGCTGCCCCTGGCTGGGCCATACTTCAGCAGCCGGAGGAATCCCCCTCCCTCCAGCAGAGGAGGATGTTGTCTTGTTGTGGAGGGGACCGTGGGTGCCCTGGGTGGGCGACAGGCTAGACATGCCAATGGGATGGACAATGTGGGCATCTGTCTAGTCTTGGGTGAGAGTCAGGGAGGGCTTCCCTGAGGATGTGGCAATTGGGGTAAAGCCTCGAAGGCAGGAGGTGGCGGAGGTTGGGCATAAGCAGAGGTCACAGGTGGGGGGACTGAGGGCAGGTGAGTGGAGTGCAGGGGTGGGGGGTGGCAGGGGAAACCACAGCAGGGCAAGGGCAGCACGTCCCTATGTGTGTCACCTGCGGGCTGAGGTGGGCGGAGAGAGACCAGGGACAGGGGAGCGTCCTGGGCTCTGAGAGGGGAGCCAAGGTGTTCTCGGCTTGGGCCCCTTGTGGTCTTTCTCCACGGAGTAACAGGATGAAGAGGATATGGCCTTGAGGCCAGCTGCGGTGATGCCCGCTTGTCATCCCAGCACTTTGGGAGGTCAAGGCGGGAGGCTCACCTGAGCCCAGAAGCCCAAGACCAGCCTGGGCAATGTAGCGAGACCGCACCTCTGCCAAAAAAAAAAAAAAAAAGAGCCGGGCTTGGTGATGCCTGTAGTCTCAGCTGCTTGGGAAGCTGAGGTGGGAAGATCACCTGAGCCCAGTAGATCGAGGCTGCTGTGAGCCACGATTGCGCCGCTGCACTCCAGCCTGGGTGACAGAGAGACTCTTTCTCAAAAAATAAAGTGGCCGTGAATACACAGAAAAATGACATGATAAGGAGGGTTGTGGAGGTGGCCCTGACCCAGGGGACCCACACACCCCCTCAGGCACTGTGCGAGGGTGGGGGCGGTGTGGTGGCATGGCTGACCCTCTGCCCAGTACCTCTGCCATGTGGACTTGAAGGTTCCCAGAACAAATCCACTCACCAGGCCACCCAGCCGGCACAGAGCTAAGCCTGAGGGTGCCTGACTCCTGGGACCCATGACCTCACCGCCCTGGCCGTGCTGCTTCATGTATGGAGTTACCTGGGAACGGGCAGGACAGTTGTGGGGCGGGAGAAGAAAGGGCTCCAGTTTCTCCCTGGAGTCTCCAGGCCACACTCTGAAGACACTGAGTGGGTTAGAGAACTCGCCTACGAACCCCAAAAGACAGGCAGAGCCACAAACTTGACAGGCTCGTCAGGACCATTAACAGTGACGAT